AAGACAGGGTTTCTCTGTGTAGTTTTGGTGCCTGTCCTGGATCTCGCTCTGTAGACCAGGCTGGCCTCGAACTCACAGAGATCCTCCTGGCTCTGCCTCCTGTGGGCTGGGATTAAAGGCGTGTGCTATCACTACCCAGATTTTTTTTTTTCCTAATAGGTAATTTCTTCTCCTAGTGGTCACAGCAAACACTTGATCATCCTGACTGGGGCTCCAATGTGTGGAGCCACCACCTCCTCGCTGAATAGAGACACTGGGAATTCAAAGTGCTTTTAAATGAATTTCCCCACCTCCAGTGGCCTGAGAACTTCAGGTCACTGTATGCCTCTGTTGTTCTTCTGTTAGTCACACTGAACTAATATTGACAAGCCCTTAGAGCGGAACTGGTGAACACAGGCTTGGCTTTGCTGGAGGCCCGTCACTGCTGCCTTTTCCTCTCCCTGGAGATGGGAAAGTTAAGCACGTTTCTTTCCATGTTCAAGCCTTCTTCACTGAGTGGGTTTGTCTCACCTCCCAGAAGTGTGAGGCACACGCCATCTGGTCCCATCTTTTTCAAGTTGATTCATGGTTATTTTTTCCCATGTGTTATAAATTCTTCACCAACTACATCAAAGACCATAGTTTACTTAAACTTGTTTCAGATTCTTGTTAACAATGCTTGAACAATATATACATATTCTGGGTTTTAATTTTTCTCACTGGTGTGTGTGTGTGTGTGTGTGTGTGTGTGTGTGTGTGTGTGTATCCCGTGATGTGAATGTGGAGGTTAGAGGAGATCTCTCTGGAGTTAGCACTCTTCTCCACTATGTGGGTCCCAGGGATGGAACTCAGTTATCAGCTTTATAGAAAGCATCTTTACATGCTGAGCCATCTCCCCAGAACTATATACAACTTCTTTTCAATATAAGTGTAAACCTGAACTATTTTCCATAGGATTATCACTGAGCAAAGTGGTAAAATGTTTGGGTGTTGTCAAGTAATTTCTAGAGAAACAGCTGCTGCTCCTACCAGTAATATATGAAAGTCTTGGGGCTGGAGAGGTGGTTCAGTGGTTAGGAGTACTGGCTGCTCTTTCAGAGGATCAGGGTTTGATTCTCAGCACCCACATGGCAGCTCACAACCATCTAAAGCTCCATTTCCAGGGATATGGCACCCTCTTCTAGACAGTGCATGCAGGGGATGCACAGACATATATGCAGGCAAAACACCCATACACATAAAGTTAAAATTAAATTATATATGTAATATCAATATATATGAAGGTCTTCATTTCACCAACTCCCCCTAACATTATCATCATTTTTTACACAGCGTGTGTTGCTTTTTCTCTCTCTTTCTCTCTGATTTCTCAGGGGTGTAAGGCACCTCACTTGAACATCTGTGAATATCAGGACCTGGGGAGGGAGCGCTGATCCACCTGACAGAAGTGTCCACATTTGCTTCTCTGAGAACTGGTGCTTGGGACCCACTTTCCTTATTTTCCTCATAAACTTGCATTTGTTCTTTATGAAGAAACCAATTTTTGTACATCTGCTTTCTCTAAACTCACACCAGCAGATACCAACAGTAGCTTTTTTTTTCTTTTTACTTTTGTTTGTTTGTTTGTTTGTTTTTCGAGACAGAGTTTCACTGTGTAGCTTTGGAGCCTGTCTTGGAACTCACTCTGTAGCCCAGGCTGGCCTCAAACTCATAGAGATCCGCCTGGCTCTGCCTCCTGAGTGCCGGGATTAAAGACATGCACCACCACCTCCCTGTCCCAACAGTATCTTAAAATCAGTTTCTTTTAAACATAATCTCACGTAGCCCAGGCTGGCCTCCAATTGGCTGCATAGCCAAAGATGACCTTGAATTTCTGTCCCTACCTCTCAGATTCTAGTATTA